GCCCCGGCCCCGCCGCCCTCGCTCGGCTCCCCGCGGGGCAGCGACCCCGGGGTCCAGCCCGGCAGCGCCGCGGGCTCCTCTCCATAAGGACAAGGTCAAGGATGACGGGTCAATGTCAAGTTGTCTTAACGGTGGAAGGCGACCGTCCGCGGCAGCACTTCCCGCGTTTCTGGTGTCCTTGATTGATTTGAAAGTGCCATTTTGAGGGAGAAAGGCACCCAGGCACGGAGGAGGCGCGGAAGGCTTGGCTTTTCCTTCCAAGGGCGAAGGAGTGACGATGGTACGGTGCGGAGATTTCACCGCCGCTCCGCCTAACAGCATTTATTGTCTTAAACCCGCTCCGATGGCCGGAGCGCCTTAGGTTTCAGGGACCCTGGGACGGCGGGGTTCTGCCGAGCGAGCCCCGCGGGAGGTAAGCTGCAGTGCCACGGCTGCCTGCCACGCGTGAGCGTGACCCACCGGCCGCAGGGACAACCCGCTCCTCTGTTTTCTGCGGGGACGTGACGGGAAAGGGAATTTGAATGTAAACACGCGTGATGCAGCCCGGGGAGGTGCGTTCGCCCGGGGACCGGTGTGGCCGGGGACGGCGGCTCCTCCGCGCTGCCCCGCGGGGGGGGGACCCGCCACCGGCAGCCGGGCAGGGGCAGGGGGTGGCCAGGGCCTGACTTGCAACCGCCAGAGACAGAACCAGTTTTACAGGGAATGAACCTGCGGCCCGGGCAGCTGGAGGGAGTCTGTATGACTTCAGCACCTCCTTCCAACTTGGGTTGCTTCTTGCTTTCGCGATTACGTTTTCCTGTGCTGATTCCCCCACCCCCGCTTGTTTGTGAAAAGGCAAAGGTGACAAGTAATGCCCCGCCTACACGCGGAGCGGGGAGAGCAGCTATGCTCAAATTATCAGCTGATCCCCACTCACGCTCCCACTACAGGAGGGGGAAAAGCGCATTTTTAAGGGCCTTATTATGATAATTCTCGGCCAGAAGTGATAGTGGTAACAGTTTGCAAATAAAAATATAAATGATAACTTCTCTAAGTTAACTGTAGAAATATATGTGTATAAATAGCATCCATGTATTCAGATATAGTTGCTTTTCTGCACAAGGAAGGAATTTATATGCAAAACCTCGAATATTCAGTCAGACGGCTTATAAACGACTTTTGTGACTCATCAGCGCCTAAAATCCACAGGCTCTGGTGGTTACCTGCTGCTAACTTTATGCAGAACTAGACCTGCAAGTCTTACAACAGTCCCCCATTATTTTTGTTTGTTGTACAGTTCAGAACAAAGCCCCCATCTTCTGTTAATCATGCCACATAACGAAAATAAATTAAGTAAACTGTAGCTGGGGTGCTGCAGGCCTTCTGCAAGTAAAGCTGCCCTGCCAGAAAATGCCGTCAGACCTCCATCACCGTGTGGGTCTGTCAGAAACCTTTGCAGAAAGCAGCTCGTTAATCCCGATCATTTCCTCTCAAGAATGATAAAGGTACTCCTCTAAAACAGAAAGAGTTGCCTCAATCGACTCCAAAATCAGCAGAAAAAATGTCTTCTGGATATTGTCACTGGACATTGCAAGGAGTAAAATAAGTGATTGTCCCTCCCGGCTCTCTATTTTGTCTGACACTCGTTGGAGGAAAAAGAAAAACCCACCTCGAGTGGCCCGGAGTGAGGGGTTGTGAGAAGGAGAATAGAAACTTTCACTGTGACACCAACGTGAACTTCCTGCAATGTGGGGCACGTGCAGCTTTTCACCTTTTCTTCATGTTCTGGATCAAATCCTTCCTGTTTTGATCTAATATAGATATCATTATTTAAAATATGACTGTACTAGACGTGAACGCAGTGTAACTCATCTTGACAACATACCTATAGCTTCAATTCGTGCCAGGAATTAATTGGTTTTAATCCAATTGCTAAAGCTCGCTTTTCAGCCTTTATTATAGTTACTCTCTAGTAATGTGTGGGTGGATTTGTTTGTAATTTAGCCTAGTCTGTCCCTGGCATCGCACCACACCTCGTACCTAGTACAGAACTGTCTGTAACATCAAACTGGGGAAAAAAAAAAAAAAAAAAAGAGGCAGGTGTGAGGGCAATTACTTTATTACCTCTCCAGTCGGTGGTGGGGAGCTCGAATTGTTAAGCTAACGTCAGCGGGCAATAAAAACCTCTTGGCAAACCCTGCCAACATAAACTAGAGCAGGAATACGATAAAATACAAAATCCAACTTCTCTGACGCTCTGGCTTTGAATCCTAAGCGGCCTCAACCCGCCCGGAGACCCTGAACGACTCGGCTGCCGCCAGACCCGCCCCGGCCGCCCTGAAGCCCTCGCTCCCCAGCAGCGGCTGCAAACACGCTTTAGACAAACTCCCAGGAGTAGTTTTCTGGGGAACACGGACTCTCCTGAAGGTACAGTTTAACTTTTCATCCGCCCCTACCCGCCCGCAGCGTTTGCTCGCTTGTCTCTCCCCACCGCCGGACTCTGCCGCGGTGGGTGGTCGCGCCGGACCCCCC